AACAGTCTGTTAGATGATGCTTTAACCAACATCTTGAGCAGAAAGCCACTGAAGCTGAAGCATACATATTGTCACAACAGAATTTCTACAGTTCCATGGCCCCATGACATTGCCAGCAAGCAATCTTTTTGTTTTGAGTCTTCCAGATTTCTTGATCTTAGAGGAGAGTGTTTGGCACATGGCAATTAGGAGCATTATGAATTGAAAAAGAGGCCTTCTGTCCCATACTTGGAAGGCTGAGGCAGGACTATTCTGTGTTCCATGCATGTCTGGCCACACAGAAAGACCCTGTCTTAGAAAACAACACAAGGGCTCACAAGATGGCTCAGGGAGTACAGGCACCTGCAACATGTGCGACCCGAGTCTGCTCTCCTGCGTCCATGAAGGACACAACAGATTCTCAAGCTGTCCTCTGATCTCTGTAAGTATGTGTGTGTGCCCCTCCTGTATCATACGCATACATACAATACTAATTTTAAAAACTAAAAAGCAAAACCCCAATGTCTATGGGCTTTTGAGATCTAAACACTGTAAGCACAAGTTTTGATGCAGGTTCTACTGATGGGAAGCATCAAACCTTGTTTTGGAGATTTTTGTTGCTGCTGTTTGGTTTGTTTTCTTTTCTTTTCTTTTTTCTTTCTTTTTTTTTTTTGGCATTTCTTGCTAACATTTCACTTAGTTGGGATTCAAAATCACCATATTTCTTTTAAAAATTGGATTTGTTCATTTTATGTGTATGAGTGTTTGTGGACCCCATGTCTGTACATCATGTGCATGCCTGTTGCCCAAAGAGTCCAGAAGAAGGCACTGGACACTCTGGGGCTGAAGTCAGAGATTGTGTTGAGCCATCCTGTGCCTGCTGCAAACCAAATGCCGGTCCTCTGTAAAAGCAACAAGTGCTCTTAACCACTGAGCCATCTCTGTAGCCCCAGAGTCACCATTACTTACCATTAAAATCTACAGTCACAGACCTAGTGGTGCACACCTGTGATCCCAGTGAATCTAGAGACCAGGAAAGAGAAATGCAAATTCAAGGCCAGCCTGGGCAATTTTTTGAGACTCAGTCTCCAAATAAAAAATGTAAATGGGCTTGTAAAGGGCTTGCTTAGCCTGCAATAGGTTCAATTCCTAGTACAGAAAACTTTAAAAATCTATTATAAATGTTCATTTGTAATGCTAACATATATTCATATTTTTATATACTTCTTTGAAAATGTTTTCTCGCAGAGACACACACCCTGGTGGCACCTGATCTGTCAAGTTGTGTGTCGAGCAACAGGATATAGTTCATCTTGTCTCAATGACTCAATGCTGCTGCAGGGAGCAACCCTGATAATGCAGAAATTAACCCAAGGATGACCTTGCTGTCCTGACAGCACAGAGCATATGGAAATCTGGGCATGGCAGAGCAATGCTGTAATCCCAGCATTCTGGAGGCTGAGGTTGGAGGACTCTCAAGTCCCTGGACAAACCTAAGCTACACAAGGAGAAAGACCCCATTTCAATAAACTAGCAAATCTTAAGGACCACTAAAACTGATATAATTTCAACTGCCTCAAAATTGTATCGTCAGAAAAATTTAATCACATTTACTATTCTATGGTGTTTGAGGGAGGGGGACACAGGGCTGAGCATGTGGAGATTGCAGGATAACCTGCAAGTTGGTGTTGTTCCCCCTAATCCCATTCGTTCTGGGTATCAAGTCCAGATGATGAGGCCTGGCACCAAGTGCCTCACTGAACTATCTTGCTGATGTTTCAGTTGTTTTTAAAATCAAGTACACCACCACCACCACCACCAAAAAATTCCAAACCCTTTTAGATCACTAGAAGTACATTACTAAAAGAAGCTCTGGGTGGGTATGGCAAATGGTCGAGAGTCTGTAAAACCCCTGTCCTAAAGGCCAGGTAATAACACACATCTATAGTCCTAGCTAAAGGAAAACATAGGGTTGGAGGTCAGTTCAGAACAGGGCTCTAAGACAGGCATAGGCAACATGGCAAGGATGTTTCAAAACAAAACAACCTGAATACCTAGCCCGGCCTTTGTCACTCCTTGCCATTTCATTTACGGGGCAGCCACTATTTCATTTTTATCTGGAAAACATTTATGGATTTGATGAAATGTGAGAAAGACAGAAGACCCAACTGACAGAGCTCTCAGTGGTCAAATGGGAACAGTATTAGCAACAAATGAAGTAGTACTGCATTTTGACTCCAAATGTAAGAGAAATATCTATGAGCCTGTACTGATGCATAAACAATTTCCAGTACAGAATAACCCCAAGTAGTTCATGCAGATACTTTACTCCCAAGGATGTGACCTGTAACTCTACTGTAAACACAAACTTCTCTTATGAATGTCTTTCCAAAGGGCACTTCATGAGTAGGAGATGGAAAATAACTGACCGTGGAGACTGCTGACAAACGTTCTTCCACCAGAGATAGCTACAAGTTAGACGTTAGGCGGACAGCATGCACCCTTGCTATGTGATGAAAGTAACACTTCACTAGTCACCCTCTGAGAAACCCTCACAATCCTAGTTAATCATGAGACAAAACCCTGGTAAAATCCAACCAAGGACATTCTGCAAAATATATATCCGTAACAACTCGGAAGTGTGAGGAGCAAAAACAAGCGGAGTAGAGAAAGTGCCCCGGGCAAGAAGCGATAAGGAGGTTGGGGTGCAGGTCAGGGGTGGGACACATGTGCAGAGGACCAGCGTGGGGTAAGATAAGCAGCTGGGATGACTAAGTGCACTGTGTACCCAAGAGGGGCTCCTAGAACAGAGAAAGACATTAGTAAAAGTAAAGGAGATCTGAAAAAACAAAACAAAAACCAAACTTGGCCAGGTAATAATGTGTCAATATTTGTTCATTAACTGCATCAAATGAATCACACAAGATGTTAATAACAAGGGAGACTAGTATGTGGTATGTGAGAACACTTGTTCATACTACTGTAAATCTATATTGTTCTAAATCAAAATGCATAGAGAAAGTGTTTGATAATGACACATAGTAATCTTTTTTTTTTTTTTTTTTTTTTGGTTTTACGAGACAGGGTTTCTCTGTATTGTTTTGGAGGCTGTCAGTCCAGCCTCGAATTCACAGAGATCCGCCTGCCTCTCCCTCCGAGTGCTGGGATTAAAGGCATGCGCCACCACCGCCCGGTGACACATAGTACTCTTAAGAGACTGTAGGTGTGAAAAAGAGAAATCCGGAGCTGGTCTTGGAGGTGCATGCCTGTAATCAATTGAGGCAGGATTGCAAACTCAAGACAAGGATAAACAATTTAGAAAGACCCTGTCTCAGAAGGGGGTGGGGGCTGGGGACGCTAATGAAGTAGGTATGCTTGTCTAGAAGGTATAAATTAGCCCCGGGGACTATACCCAGTATAGAGGGTGTCTGTGTGTTGAAATCTCCACTAGTAAGTAAGGGTAGATGTTAATACAGATTCAGGGAGCAAGAGGACAATTAAATTTGCAAAGCACTAGCCAACTTTGCTAAATAGGCTGTCTTATCTCTCAGAATACTTCTAGTATGCCTTCTAATTGGTTTTCTCCAGATATCTAGGTTGCTATGTTACTGGACTTTTCCACTATGACATGCATAGCTCACCAGCGTTCCCTAATGTCTTTCAATTAAAACTGTCGTGGTTGGCAGGGTGGCTCATGCATGTAATCCTGTATCCAGGTAGCTGAGACAAGAGGATCACCATGGGTTCAGAAGGTCACAACTGGTGTCATTTTCCCCCTAGCCTACCTTAGGTAGTTATATATTATCTGTGACCAGAACAGCAATATTCAATGGATATCCCTGGGTTTCTACAAAGTCTGTGTAGGAAGGGCATAAAGTGGGCACAGCAGACCCCTAAGTCAAGACTATTATAAAGAGATAGGACCAGAGCTGGAATCCACATTTCATTCTAATACTTCTCCCATCTAAAGGAACAATCAACTACAATTACAAAACTAAAACAAAACAAACATGACAGCTACATATTACAGCTTACTTGAAACAATGCACTATGTGTACACGCAAAGATGGACCGATTTGTAGGGTACAAGCAAGTAAAGCTGGCATTCTTGATGGACCTTCAATATTTTTCCACAAGAAAACCAAACCCTTCCTTGAGATTCTGTGGAAAACCAGTTCATAGAAAGATGGGGAAATCAGCTTTTTTTTCCCCACTGATGGATTATAAATTTTGAATAAGGAGCAAAATAAAGTCATCTAAGTTCTTTACGAAGACAGCAAAACTTCTGACACAAGGTGTTTGTAACCAGAGGAAAGTAAGCTCTGATAACACACATGCAACCTAAAATATTGTTTAGAACAGCAATATTGTCAACTTTACATTTTGGTTCCGCATGTTCACTTGTACTCCAGCAAAGAAGTCACACCCATCACTCTCAAGTCAACAAGTACCATTAAAACAAAAACCTCAAAGAAACATACCCTACCTGGGAACAAATCACTTTTAAATAAATGTACCTTAAATGGAATTCTGGAGACAAAACAACTCCAACGAAGCTGTAAATAATTCTTAAAGGAACTTTTTTTAATAGGATTCACGCAGGAGCTCTGGGGGAGCGACACAAGAACACTTTTTTGGAGCATTCGACAAGGAAGAACATTCAAATACTCGAGCTATTCCAATATCCCACTAGCTGGTTGGTATTTCTAAAAACACTGAAGATGCTGTTTTCATAACATAAACTCAAGGCAGCCTGGATGCAAAAAAAAAAACGACTCCTGGACAAGAGTCTGAATCGGATTAGCTGCACCTCTTGGAGGCGGCTGCGGATTTGAGATTAGCTCTGGAGAAACGGGTTTTGCAGCATGGGGTAGTTATCTCGGAGCATCTACTCGCCCTGTTCTTTCAAACAGACACGGTCGAGCATGAGCACGCGTGCAGCCAGCCCTCCCTCGCAGGGCCGCGCTCGGCCCACGCTGCTCCGGCAGCCCGCGTGCGAGCCGCTGCGCCCGCACACTCACCATCTCGATGATCTTGGTCTTGCGGCCCGTCTTCCTCTTCAAGGTGAATATGTACTGGGCCAGCACCACGCCCGCCACCACGGCGCACACACTGGCGCTCGCCACCGCGCCCACCCGCGCCACGGCTGCGCGGTCCATGGACAGGCCCGCGAGCGCCCGGCGCTAGAGCCCCAAACCGGCAGCGACGAGCCCAGGGGCGCGGCGGCACGCGGCACTCTCGCCCGGAGCTCCGCCCCGCGCGGCGGAGACCGGGGAGGCCCCGCCCAGAGGAGGTGGTGGGCGGGGGACAGCGGGGCGGGGACAACGCGATTCGTGTCCGGAACCCCACCCCTACTGCGGGGGCGGGACTTCCTCTGACCCTGTCGCCAGAGCTACGCCGCAAAGACCCGGAAGGGCACCTCGGTAATTCGCTGCTGAGAAGGGGCGCATGTGTAATCCAGAATGCCAGCGCTCCAAACGCTAGGCCGTACCTATAGTACACAGTAAGAACTCTCAGACACACACGGGACAATACCCAAAGCCCTGTCCCAGGGAAAGAGACTTCAACCACGGCCCACTCAGAAACTGCGCCCTGACTCTGCCAACATGGACTACAATGCCCAGCGGCCTCAGCGGCGCCGCGTCTGACTTGCGCAGTACCATCGTGAGCTGGAAGGCCAGGGTCTAGGTTTCCTGGGCATGTCTGTGTGCTAAGGGTCTTCCCTTCTCAGCCCCGGGGTACACCCTAGTTAAGCGTACTTTCCTCAGCAGTGTGAGCAGTCAGACTTGCAGTCGTTTACTTGCCTAGTGTCATTCAAGGGATATTGTTTCCTCTGTTCCTCTTGGAATTGCAGGAGAGTTTTTTTTAGGGCAGTCGCTCCAGTTCTGTGAAACTGATGCTGCTGTTTGGCCACACTGCCTGGTATGTGCAACTGAAGGAAGTCAAGAATTAATAACTGTGGAGGAGAAAGAATTATTTTTTTCTAGGTTTTACTAGCTGGCCTAAAAGCAAATTGATATACTAACCAGAGTAAAACAATTTGTGTATTGTGCAAATAGCAATCCCCACAAAAATAGGAGACTCAATTCGGTCATGGTGTAGCGTGCTTCTAATGTTGGCACCTAGGATTCTGAGGCAGGATGGTTGCTGCCAGTACAATGGCTGATGAACCAGGGTCATGGTTCGTGACCCTGGCTCACAAACAAACAAACACCTCAAAGAAGTAGCCAAGAGATTGAAGCTAACATATACCATTCTGGGTTACTGAAAGAAGTAAGTGAAAAGTTTCCCAACCCGGATAAGCCTCTCCGCCGATGCAGCAATCCAAATTTGACTAAATCAAACAATTAGAAAAAGCCCACATTTTTGTTTTTCTGAGACAGGGTTTCTCTGTGTAGCTTTTAGAGGCTATCCTGGCACTCGCTCTGTAGAACAGGCTGACCTCGAACTCACAGTGATCCACCTGCCTCTGCTTCCCGTGTGCTGGGATTAAAGGCATGAGCCACCAACTTCCGGCACCCACGTTTAATGGATACAATGTTTCTCAATGACCTTCCAGCTGCCCAGGAAGGGGACAGGAAATAGAAACTGGAAAACCATGAGTCTGTTTTCTGGGGGGAGGGCAGTTTAAATACCCTGTGGCAGTGGTCTTGAGTATCTCTGGGGTAGGGGTCATCATTTGGTGGGATTTCTGAGATGCAGCAGGGTTTGGAGAAAGATAGGGGAGGGGGCTTCGGTGGACCTTCCACCGTAACATCCCAGACTCTTTAGGTGTATGGATGCCAGGGGCTGTGGTGAAACTTCCACAGTAAGAATTATGTTTGACAATTCTAGAGTGAGGTGGAAACTTCGGAGTGGGAATGTATGGTGACTAAAGGTTACCCTGTGCAGATGAAAACCTTTCCGGTTGCTATACGTGTGAGCTCAGTGATAGGGTGCATATCACTGAGTTCAAAAGTTATGTTTGGGGTAGATCTTGCACTGATATATTTACTAATGAAAATTTCCATATATTTATATTATATCTATATATATATTGCACAAAGGATGTTTAAAATTTTAAGGGATTTGTATTAATTACTCTTCTGTTGCTGTGATAAAGCACCATGACCAAGGCAACTTAGAGAAGAAAGGGTTTACTTTGACATGTAGTTCCAGAGGACGGCAATCCGTTGCAGTGCCGACAGCATGGCAGCGGGTGGCAGCAGGTTGCTGTCATGGCAGCAGGAGGAGAAGCTGACTGCACACTTCTCAACTACAAACACAAAGCAGAGGGAGCTAACGGGAAGTGGTGCAGAGTCTCTAAACTCTCAACGCAAGCTCCCGGAGACATGCTTCCTCTAATGAGGATGCACGTAAGCCTCCCCAAATAGCACCACCAGCTGGGGACCACATGCTCAAACATCTGAGCCTAGGGGGATCATTCTCACTCAAACCACTATGAAATTTAAGGGAAATTAAAGGGCATTTTCTGCTCTGACCAGTTCTCAGTATCTTTCATGTCAAAATAATCATTGTACCAAAGTGGTTTACTCATGGCACAGTCTGATCGTTTTTAGTCGTGTCTTGAGGTAATGTGGCTTGAATCTCATCATAGTCAAAGCTAAGGACTGCTTTTTTTCTGCCATATGTTCCTCTCTGTCCCATCCCTGAGACCCCTGCAAAGAATTTTTAAAGGGAAATATATAGAAAGATAATTCCCAGAAGGTGATTCAGAACCTGACATTTAATGGAAACGCATGTCTGTAATTAAACATTGACTGCAAAGATGCCTGTCTTAATTACTTTTCAATCACTATGATAAAATACTGCATCCAAGGCAACTTATAAAAGAAAGCACTTAATCTGGCTTGTGCTTTCAGTGTTAGTGTTCATGATGGTAGACTGAAGGAACAGCCGAGAACTCACATCTTAATCTGCAGCCAGAGGCAAAGTGAGAGCTACCCCTAGTGACACACCTCTTCCAACAAGCCCCATGTCCTAATCCCTCTCAAACAGTTCCACCAAGGATTCAAATATATGTACCTATGGGAGCAACCTCTTTCAAATCACCATAATGCCCTTTCCATATTTGTTTTGTGAATACATTTTTCTGATGCCATGTAATGCTTTTTTGAGGAAATACAAGCATAATTTATGTGAAATTCTATGAACATCTTTGGGTTGTCTCACTCAGGATGGTTTCTTCTAGTTATATACATTTGGCTGTGAATTTCAAGATTCCATTGTTTTTTTTCCACTGTGTAGGACTCCATTGTGTAAATGTACCACATTTTCTTTATCCACTCTTTGGTTGAGGAGCATCGAGGTTGCTCCAGGTTCTGGCTATTACAGATAATGCTGCTATGAGCATAGCTGAACAGATGTCCTTGTGGTATGAGTGTACATCCTTTGGATATATGCCCAAGAGTGGCATTGCTAGGTCTTGAGGTGGATTGAGTTTTTCTGAGAAACCACCATCCTTATTTCCAAAGTGGCTGTATAAGTTTGCACTCCCACCATCAGTGGAGGAGTGTTCCCCTTATTCCACACTCTCTCCAGCATAAGTTCTCACTAGTGCTTTTGCTTGCCTCCTTTGAAAGTTTGCATGCACCTTCTGATTCCATGAAAGCTAGTCTTCAGAGAGGGAGTGTTCAGGTCAGTTCTAGTTCAGGGGCCTCTGGGACCTCTGTAGGAAGTACATAGTATCTTCAGCAATAGAGACTTACCTTCCACTTCTGGGAGATAGAAAAGGACAACAGCAATAGGGTGTATATTTTGGGAGTCTCTTAGGCATTCCTGGCCAACAACTAAAGAGAGGGCTTCTCTTGTTTGGTATTGAGATTTTTGTTAGTTGGTAATGGAGGAAGTTGTACTTGACTTTTGGAGGGAGCACTGTCAGCACCAGATAAGAAAGGTTCATTGAGACTATATATGTACATTTATGCACTGGATATCCATTTACCCACCTCTCTTCTTTTCCTGTACTTAACCTCATTTCCCTAAGAAATCTTCCTTTCCAAATTTCTCCTATCAGATCATTTGTATCTTGCTAGTTCCTTTTGCCCTTCGCCCACCTTTTTTGTAAGAGGGAAAATGTGGTATTTGTTTTCAGAGTCTAGTTGATCTCACTTAATATGATCTTTTCTAGGTCCATCCATCTAACTGTAAAGTTCATGATTTCATTTTCTTTACAGCTGAATAGTATTTCTCAGTGTACATGCACCACCTTGTCATTATTCATTAGTTGGTTCTAGAGCATTTAGGTTGTTTTCATTTCTGAGCTATTTTGTGATTAGAGCAGCAATTAACATGCTTGAGCAATTAACAAGCTTATCTGTGGAGTGTCATGTCCAATCCTTTGGGCATATGCTGAGGAATGGGATAGATAGGTCATATGGTAGATTTATTTTTAGCCTTTTAAGAATTCTCCACAGTGATTTCCATAGTTGCTACACCAGTTTCCAATCCCACCAACAGTAAATGAAGGTTCCATTTTCCTGGATTACCTCCAGCATTTGTTGTCAGTTGTTTTGTTTATCTTTGTTATTCTTAGAAGGGTATTATAAAATGTCAAAGTTGTTTTGATTTGCATTTCCATAATTGCTGATATAATTTATTTGGGGTATTTCTTGGCCATTTCATTTTCTTCTTTTGAGAATACTCTATTCTGTCTAAGGCCTATTTTGTGAATGTATCATTTTTCTTTTTGACTATTTGCTTCTTGAGTTTTTTTGTATATTTTGGATATTAAACCTCTGTCATATATATAACTGGCAAAGATTCTATTGCTTTCTATAGGCTTTCTCTTCACCTGGTTGATTTTCTCTATAACTGTACAGAATCTTTTATTTTTATCATTTCCAACTTGTCAGTTTTTTGCCTTTCTTGTTGGGCAAATGGAGTCCTATTCAGGAATCTTTCCCTACACCTATATCATGTAGTGTACTGCCTATGATTAATTCTGTCAGTTAGGTCTTTGATCCATTTTGAGTTAGCTTTTATGCAAGGTAATAGATACTGGTCTAACTTCATTGTTTTGCAAGTACGATATCCAATTTCCCCAGAATCACTTGTTGAAGATACTTTCTTTTTCTTCATGTGTGTTCTTGGCATATTCATCAAATATTAAATGGCTGAAGTCCTATGTACTCATGTTTGGGTCTTTGTTTTTTCCATTGGTTTACATGTCTATTATATGTTTTTTGTTTTACTGTGACTCTAATATGTCTTGAGAACTGGAATTGTGATCTCTCCAT